TCATACAGTCACACTAATTTTTATTCGTACAGTACAAGATAGCGTTTTCGTACAGTACAGTTTATATGTATACTCTAGATTTAACGATTCCCTAGAATTTACCAAATAATGTCATCATGTGAATTATATATAATTGTAGAATTACAGTACAATTGGAAGCAAAAATTTGCTATTTTCAAGAAATTTATACGAAAAAAGAAAAGAATGGCAATTGCAACATTGGAAAGTGCAGAAAGAAAAAGCAACAATCATAGAACAAGTCTGGGAAGCTGGTGATTTAGAGATTAAAATAGTAGATACAGCAACAAAAACATGTCATCAATGTTATGCAGAAGATCATTTGGTATTCAAATGTCCAGTTGCAGTAAGACAAAAAGAAATAAATAAATAAAAGAAAAATAAATGATTTTGAGAAATATGGTCACATGTACACTAAAGTTATACAAAAATTAAAAGATCATATAGATCTAGCACAGGATACTCTGATGCTGTTAAAAGAAATGTGAACAGGGATAAAAGAAATAAGGAAGAAAACAATAACCAAGAAAACATTTTGAAAACTATATTGAAAACACTTCAAAACATAAAACAAGGTATATTAGATATTAGGCAATACAATAATGACATGGAAGAGAGAGTCCAAGCCTTGGAAGAATATGTGGGAAAAGAAGCTTTTGATGAAGTAATGGAGGATGGTGAAGATTTAGAAAATATTGTGAAGGAAGTGTCTAATGCAACTACTGAAATTATAAGAACAAAAGAAAAACAAGTAACACAAATAGAGCAAATAGCAGATACTGTTAAAATGTTAGCAGATTTAATACTAGAGCTAAAACAATCTAATGTTGAGACACAAAAAAGATTAGAAAGAATGGAAAATATGTCTAATTTATCGAAACAACAGGAAAATATAGGAAGTATTTCCTATTAAATGAACAAACATATAATAAATAATTTTAAACTGATGAAAAATCATAAATAAATAATAATACTACTAAAATAATAGAAAGTGAACAAACTTCAAAAAATAATAATATAAACAATACAAATAATAAATATTTAAACATAAATAACATATTATATATTATCTCAGAAAATAATAAAAAATCAAAAAAAAAAAAATAGTAAAAATAATGAAAAAACAAAAAATAACAATAATATAATTAGTGTAATTAAAAATGATAATAATAATCAAATATCAAACTTGACATTAATATAAATAACATTACAATAGATATAGAAAAAGAAAATAATAATAATGAATTTATGAGAATAGTTACTCAAAATATTAGGGAATAATAAGTATAGCTAAACAAATGGATTGGTTGAACTACTGTATAGTAAAAGAATTTGATATAATAGGACTAACTGAAACATGGGCAAAAGAAGAAAGTTGCAAATACATCTTTAAAAATGATTTAATAAATGAAACAAAAAATGTTCAAAATGAATATATATATATTTGGGCCAATGGAAAATAAACAAATTGTTCAGGAGCAGGAATTATGATTAAAAAAAATGGGCAAAACATATTTATAGAACCAAAAATTATGAGAGAAATATTTTAAGTATAAGTTTAGCATTTAAAAAGAAAATAAAAGCAAAACATATAGTGATTTATTATCCATCAAATTCAGAACAGAGAAAAGGAAGAACTCATTTTTTTTTTTTTTTTTTTTTTTTTTTTTTATATCCAACGGAGTCTTGCTCCAATAAACTTTATTAATAGATTAAGTGTAAATTTTAAAGATACAGATAATTTATTTTACATTTATTGAAATTGACTAAAAATAAAATTTTACGGTTCAACTTATCATTGCCTAAGTATAACCTCAGGAACTGAGGAAGAACTCATGTGACCAAATGAATAATGAATGAAATTGGACAGTTAGTCAACAATGACAAACATTACACAAAAATAATAGAAGATTTTAATGCAACAGTCAATCCAAAAATTAATAGATATAATACAAATATTAGTAAAAATAACAGATCAAATAAACCAGAAAGTTCAATTTTAAGATTTTTAAAGTAAGTTCATTGAAACATTTAGAATATATAAAGAAGCTATAAAAAATACAGAATTACAAAATAATACAGAATTAAACTTCACATGAAAAAATAGTAGAGGAGAAATAAAAAGTAGAATTGATTATATCTGGATATCAGATAATTTAACAGATCAACTATTTTATGCAGATATTATATCAGCACATTTGACAAGTCAAAGTGATCATACACATGCAATTATAGAAATAGAAACAAACATTTTTGAAAAACAAAAACCAATGTTAAAAACAACTGAATGTCAGCAAAGAATATACGTGTTGCCCAAATCCCAAATTACTAGTATTTGGGATTTGGGATTTGGGATTTCGACAAAAAATACTAATCATAATTTGGGATTTGGGATTTCGGCATTTGGGATTTCGGCATTTGGATTTTGAATTTGGGTGGCAGGTATAGCAAAGAATAGAATTTAATTTCAAAGGAACAAATGAAAAAAAAATGGAAGAAATTTGAACAGATAATTGAAAAAGTTATAGAGCAAAATAAAATAAAAGATAATGATATTAATAAAAAATGGAAGTTTTTTCAAAAAACAATAATTCAAACAGCAAATGAAATAATATCTAAAAGAAAATTTCACACTTTTAGAAAAGGAGAAAAAAGTAAAATATTACATAATCATTTTGAAACTAATAGGAAAGTAGTAGCATTATGTAAAATTTTTAATTGGGGTTGGCAGTGGTATATGAACAAAAAACAAAGAACAGTAATGGAACTTAAAATCAATCAAAAAATTGATGAAATAAAAAAAGAATATGAAATAGAGATAGTAACATCAAGTTGAAAGGAAACAAATGAAGAATTTAAAATCTGGTTAAGAGAGGTAAAAGACAACACCAGTTATTGTGCAAAATATTTGAAACTGAAATAAAAGAAGAAAATTATAAAGGCATACAAAAATGAATAGTAGAGAGAAATAAAAATTTTTTAGATAATAAAACCAAAGTTATTAGAAGCTTATTAAACAAAGAACGGCCAAGAATTATAACAAATAATATAGTAAGGTGTGTTGGCACAAAAGTAGAAATGATAACAGATCCAATAGAATTAAATCAAGAAATACAAAATACATTTACACATTGTGCAATGAAAGAAAAATAGAAAATCCAAAGTATCATTCAGAATGGAAAGAAATATATAGTAACTCAAAGTGCCAAATTAAAGAAGAATGGTATTCAACATTAATACAAGAGTTTACTAAAGACGAGATAAGTAAAATAATTAGAAAATCACCTAATAAGAAGGCACCAGGTTCATTTACAATTGTTAATGAACTATGAAAACAAATGGATGATAATGCAATACAATATCTTGTCAACTTATTTAATCAAATGCTACAAGAAGAAGAGATTCCAGATGAATAGAAAATGGATTATATATTTCAATAACAAAATCAAAAAATTGGAGGAAAAATATATGGAATACAAGATCAAATACACTTCTAGAAACAGCAAGAAAATATTTACAAAAGGAATATATAATAGACTAAGTAGAATTTTGTTAGAGCACAAAATATTAAATAAGAATAATTGAATGGGATTACCAGCAGGATCAACTCAAGGCCCAATACATATACTCAACAATTGTATAGAAGAAGCAAAAGAGTTCAACAAAGAACATTGGATCCTATCACAAGATATTTCTAAGGCCTTTGATTCAATAAACGCAAAAGTATTAAAGAAAAGTATGAAAAGAATTAAAATGTCAAACAAATTATTAGCATTCTTAATAATTTATTAAGTAATTGATCAAGTAGAGTGATAACATTTTATGGTCTAACAGATGAGTTTAATCCATAAACATAGAACAGGGAGATGCTTTATCTCCACTATTATGGCATATATATTATGATCCTTTACTAACAAAGATATGAAATTTAAAAGAAGGTTATTACATAGAAACTCTGAAATATGGTAATTTATGTAATATAAAAATAAAAACAAAGAGATTAAATATAAATGCAATAGCATATATGGATGATACAACATATTTAGATCAAATAGAGAACAAATGGAGAATATACTACAATCAGTTGAAGAATTTACTAAAATGACAGGAATAAAAATTAATGCAGAAAAATCACATTTAATATGTATAAAAGATAAAACAGGTGAACGTAATTTAAAATTTATGAAGGAAAAAATTAATGCAATTGGTAAATATGATCAAATAAGAATATTGGGAGTATATTTAACAGCCAATGGTAAAAAACAATATCAGAAGAATTTAATTGAAGAAAAAGTTAAAAACATATGTAGATTATTAATGTGGAAAAAAGCAACAGACAAAGAAACAAGATACATTATTAATCATGTGTTGTTTCCAGCAATAAAATATTTGTTAAATGACATTATTATATTAAGAAAACAATGTAATTATTTAAATTAAATGTGCCTTAAGGTTCTTAAACACAAGGCAGGATTTGCACAAACAGTAATCAACAGTATATTTCATTTACCAGAAAGATACAAATTATTTGATATTTATGATTGCCAGTTACAATTACATATTAAAAACCTATCAGATCGTTTAAGCAAGAAGGACAATTTAGGAAATACTACTATAATTCTTTTATAACAGTTTAAAATTATTTATGAACAGATAAAGAATTTATGAAAATGAAAGATGTTATTAAAATAAAAGACTATTTTAACTTAACAGCATCAATAATAAACCTAGCAAAAGAAATAAATATAACATGGCAAATAACAACAACAGGAATATATGATCTTAATATTCTATATGGAGGAAAAATTTAATAGAAGATATATGGACTAAAAATAAAAGAAATATGAAAAATACAAAAAAAAGCCTTCAAGAAAAAAGAATATTATATTTAGAACAGATTATGAATATAGACTTTAAAAATAGACTTGAATGGTCACACATACAAGCCAAATATACAAAAAGAAAGGGTAGAATTCTGGGATTGCACATTTATATTAAAGAAAATAAACAAGAAATAATAAAGTTATATGGGGAAAAAATTAGCTCAGAATATAAAAATAAAATAAATCCCTTTGTCAGATTAAATAATAAATACAAATTATCAAATTCAAATGGATAGCGAGTAGAAATAATGAACAATAATAGGAAAAGAATTAAAGAAAAAAATAGCAAAGGAGAAAGTAAAATATATTAGTCATCACAATATCTTACAAGGAGAAACAGAACCTACTTTTATTTTAGTTTCATGTGAAGGTTGTTCACAAAACACAGAAAAAGGAAATAGTTGTGTCATTTGCATGGAAGAAGGAAAAGAAAAGGAATTTGAAATACCAGTAGCATACTCAAAAGTGTTAATATCTGGATCTAAAACAGATCAATATAAAAATCAATTAAGAATGTCATATAATAGTATAACAAAAGCTATAGAAATTATAGACTCAACACAAAATAAAATAAATGAAGAAGACACAGAAGATGAAGAGAAAGGAAAAAAAGAAATAAGGGAACAATATAATAATAACAATATTTATAAATGGATTGTTGAGGAGGCTACAATTTATGAAAAACTTAAAAAGATTCAAAGGAAAGTCAAAGATCAGAAAATTATCAAAGTTTATACAGATGGATCTTTAGAAGATCACAAGATGGGATTAGGATGGGCAATTCAGGATCAGGAAGGAGACAATTACACTAAATACAGATGTAATATTGAATACTTTCATTATCAACACGTGCAGAATTAGCAGCAATACTAACAACCCTATTAGTAATGCCAAAAGAAGTGACAGTACAAATATACACAGATAGTATGAATGCCATATATAGTTTAAACAAAATAATTAAAAAAGAAAAAGAGTTCATATTGAAAAATACTCAAAATCCTATAATTTTACAGGTAATAGATGAAATAATAAAGGAACTAAATTTAAGATACATTTACTCAAGGTAGAAGCATGCACAGGAAATTTTTTTAATGAAATGGCAGATTCTTTAGCAAAGATTCCATTGACATGGAAAGATCAAGAGATAATTAAAATTAATTACAAAAATATAAATGACAGATTATATATTACAACTTGGAACAACATATCTATGGAGATACCAGTGAAGCTAATAGTAAAGAAATACAACATAATCAAGAAAAGACAGAAATGGAAGTCATAAAATCATTTTCAAGAAATTTTTGTGAACCAGGAAAAGACACAAAAAATAGATTGGAGTACAACTTTTAAAACATTGAATCCAAGTAAAATAACAAATGATAAAACAAGTAGAGGTGATCAAATGAAAAGAAGCTTTGCAATGAAACCCATAAATGAAGAATACCAGTAATCACTAGAAGATTTCAGCACCAATCTCACACATATATAAATATAAAGATCCTAATGTGTATTATGTGAAAGATATGAAGAGAATAATTTGGATGTATTTAAGTGCAAAAGAAACAATAATAATTCTGAATATAAGCCAATGATGGAACATTATGAAAAATTAATTAAATACTTAACAGATAAAACTTATGAGAAGGCCAAAATCATAGTAAAAAAACAATTAATACAATGCTGAAATCCATAAGTGAACTATATTTGTGAAACATAGACATTGATGATCAGGATCAAAGAACATTTCATCGTGTGAACTTATATGACATAATTAGGGGACTTATATCACATTCTTTAACTAATAAGATAGCCAAAATGCTCAAAAGCAAGATAAAGGCCAGGAAGACAGTAATTGTGGGAATTGTTAAATTTAAAGAGTATTTATGAGAATGTTGGAAGAAAAGATGTGAAAGGGTAATTGAATGGAAATTACAAAACAATCTTACAAATAAAATTAAAAAAAGAAAAAAAATAAGTCAATAATAAGAATAATAGTAATAGTGAAAATATTTGTAAATAGGGAAGGAAATAACATAAATACAGAATTAAATGAAGAAATAAATAGAAATGGAGACAACCAAACAATAATAAGAAAAGAAAAGAATAAAATTGAAGAAACAAAAAAAAATAATAGAAAAATATATAGAGCATAACTTAGAAACATGGATCATGTATGGAAGTTATTATAATATTAACCATTGTTATAGATTTATCTGATGGAGTTTTGACCATCAGTTCTCAGGTTTAGCCTGGTCAATGATGGATCAGATGGTAAATAGAAATATTTTAGTCAGTTTTAATAAATGTACAATATATAAAATGTAAAAATTTACAGATTTGATATTAATAAGGTTTATTGAAGCAAGACTCATTGGAATTAAAAAAAAATAATTATATAAATCGTTTATGCCCGAAAACTTGATTATTTATTAACTTAACAATAAATTTTGTATTAAGTCACCTTAAAGCCTGAAATATGAAGCATCTTTTGTAAAAATTTCAGCCTTATATATATAGAATTGAGGGAATAATACACGATTAAACATTAGAGTATAATTTTAAAACGTCTGATATTCAACTGTTAATATTAAACTTTAAAAATCTAAAACTTTTACAGTAGATGCTCCATATAATAAATTTTAACTGTACTTAGTACCATTTTTATTGTTATATTAATTTTTTTTAACCATCGGAGTCTTGTTAGAAACTTTATTAAATAAAACAAATGTTAAATTTACAAGTTGTGTTCTAACTACCTACTCTAAACTAAACTATTACTAATTTAATCTAGATAATGGGTTGACCCACTGACATCCACAAAGTGAATTGATGGTTAGAACTTCATCAGTTAATGTAATTATAGTAATATTTATAAAAAAAGATGTTCCCATATATAGTTAGCAAACTGTATGAAGTTATTGCATATTTGAGAGATGAGTTATAAAAGTGTTTA